GCCATGTCCATACAGTCTGAGTGTGTACATAATTGTCTTGTATTGATATTAAGAAGGAAGCAATAATCTTCACTGTGATTGGTTAAATACTGTATGTCTGTTATAATGATTTCTCCAAACTACTATATCTCCCCACAGTTAGATTTTTATTGTCATTGCCCTAGCCTGGCCAGCCAAATGACTTTCTTTCTGCTGGCTGGTGCTTTTAAACCTGGCACCTTTGTTACACATTTGTAATTATGCAGCTTAATTGGCACAAGCGAACAATAAACATTAGTTGAATTAAACCATAAGGGGTTCCATTTTGTAAGTATTCAGGGTTGGGACTTTATTACCAGTGTTATGCTAATATGGATATTCATTTTTCCTCCAAAATGTTTCTACTAAATAAAAGATTGACTCGCTGCTTAACAAAGAGTGCCCCCATACACACATTACAGGCGTCGTCCACACACTTTCCCACAATGCAACACTGTACACTGTGGGTGCATCTATGGCTGTAGGCGAGCCCTTTAGGCAGGATTTGTCTATTGACCTTGACCATGGCACGAGAGAGTCTGTGTGTGTATGTGTGTGTTTAATTATCCTTATGAGAACCGCAGATGAATATGGCAGAAGCCCAAAGCCCAGGAGAGAGTTACATGGCAAAGCACACACACAAAGAAGCACACGTGTGACGTCTGTGTGTCTGTCCACTGAGGGCCCAATCCTACTGCTTCTCTGTGTCCTATTGTGCCCCGATTCTAGGGCTCTGCAATCTAAAATGTAATGAAACTTCCTTCATATTCAGATTAGATTTAACAAACAGCAAAGATGTTTTTGTGTTGCTAAGGTAACTAAAATGAGTAAAAAAGGTTAGCTACTGTCTTGCCCCACTGCAACAAGGTCCATAGGAATACATTGCTCTATTGGATTCTTTATGTTTTGGTCTGGATGTCAGCCAGATGTTATCAAGTTCTGCATCTCCCTACTGTTGATTTGAATTTGACTTGAATCTTTAAATGCCACATGCTCAGTTAGTATCCTAATTAAATGATATACTGTGGAACATTCCAGACAAAGCAATAGCATTCCCATGGAGACCAGCAGGTGGCAGACTGCTTCAGAAAAGTTACTTAGCGGATCTTTTAATTTTATAGCTGCAAACCTGTAGTTTTATGTAAGTGAATGTAAGGCTCACATTGCCTTTGTGTTGCTTCTCAGTTATTGAATGCACACATTGTGCTCTTTGTTGCAATTGAATCTACAGGGTAATGGGTTTATTAAGTTAGTCTGGCAGAGCTGTGCGTGTTCACAACGACATACATGAGGTGTGTGTTTTGTCTTGTTTTGGTGTGTGAGTTTGCATTAGCGTGTGTGTTTGTTAGCATGTGTGTGTGTTAGCGTTTGTGTGTGTGTGTCCCAGGTTCAGTGGCCCTCTGAGATCAGATGAAAGGAAAGCATCCTGTGACTGATCCTCTCCAAACAGGGGAATTGGACCTCCCTCTCCCCCACCACCTCCCCCTCTTGTCTCTCACTCTCATATCCCATAACTCCCTGTTTCTGTCACACTCGGCATCCTCACAGAGCATGTGACCCACTTTTACCACCCACCTCTCCCTCTCTCCCCCCGATCCCCAGGTCCCATCTGAAGACGGTCTGCGGAGAGCCAGCCAGGGGACCCACAGACCGAGATGGAGAATAAAGAGGCGCAGCCGCCTCCTGCCCGTTTCAGAAAGCATGGCCCCCTGCGATTTGCTTCCTAATGTTTCAGTAGTTGTTCCATCACTATGAATAAGTATTTGTAAATGGAGGTTATCTCAAAGACATGGGCCAAGTAAGGGGGAAAGCAAAACAGGAGGTGTGACTAATTTGTATGTTTTGAGAGTTCAGATTGTTCAATGGTTCAAAATGATTGGAATTGAACAAATGGCTCTTCATTAATAGTTAAAACCATTTTCATTGTGTAACTAAAGCTACATGTGCCCCATACATTTCACCAACTCCAGCCCTCACATCACTATCCTGCCTTGCAAGTTTCATTTACAAAGATACAAACAGTTACTATTGCTAATATCAGTTGCGCTTTGGGCTCTGCTTACCACTAAAACAATGTAATGGACATTTTCTTAACTCTAGCTGGGGTTTAGTTAATGGCAGAAAGTAGATTTATAGTTGTCAAAGTGAAAAAGGTCCTGAGGTCCAAATAGCTCTAATGTGACTACCTGACAGAGATGAGCATGTAGTTGTTACCTGGCAAACAGCAGTGTGAGCTGTAGGTGTACTCTGTATCTTCCCTCTCCATTAGGCCATTAGTATTCAGGATGTGTTGCAGTGTTGCTGCCCGCCACTCATTCCCTAGATAGCGAATCAGCCGGCGTTGATTAATTTCAGCCTATTAGCACCCCTGGTTCCCCTCCCCCGACTCCGCCCAGGTTAAATCCCTGTGCAGAGGCGCGTGCGTGTGCTCAGGCGGGGGCGCTGCTGGGTGAGCGATGGCACAGAGGTTGCCAGGGAGCCAGTTGTTGTCAGAGCGATATTAATGAGTGCTGCTCCTGAGCCCTGTGTATTTACGCCAGCCTTAAGTGTACCTCTTTCATTTTGGTGAATACTAAAACTCCCCCAGTGTTACTGAGCGAGTGGACTTATGCACATTTGTGAATCTGTCTCCAGCATATGTCCATTTAAACATATATCGTGTGTTTGTGTGTTCGTCTGTAGCTGTGCGTGATATCCAGCAATGCCATGGCCTGAGGGACAGGGACTTATGAGTGTGTGTGTGTGTTCTGTGTAGTGTGTGCACTGTGTAGTGAGTGTACTGTGTACTGTGCAGTGTGTAGTGTGTGTACTGTGTAGTGTGTATGCTGGCTCTGCTGAGGCCTGTCCTAGTTTCCTTTGCCTCACCAGGGAGCCAGAGGATCCAAGGAGTGACGCACATCACCTGACAGCCGCCCCACTGCTCCACGGCCCTGCTCTGTGTGAGAGATGTGAGAGTGTGTTAGCAGATCCATCAGTGCGGCCGTCAGGCCTCTGTGTAGGCCTCAGTGTGTCTTAATACAGTGGCACAGTTGAACCCAGTGTTTAGTGTTCTGATCCCAGGGCTGTGTGTGTGTGCACGTACGCTAGGCTACGGTGGAGTCTATGGTCTGAGCTCTTCTGAACCTCATGGAAGTGAAGTGCTTAAACAGTTTAACAGTAATAGTGCAGCTGTGAGTGTGTCTGAATCACATGACCTGATGTACATGAGACTTACTCATTTACAGTCCGTTGGTGTGGCTGTTCCTGCTGCCTGTAGTTCTACCATGTGTTTGTGTTTTGTACTGTATTTCAAAAATATTAAATTTATAAAATATGTGTGAGGACAAGGTGGGTTAAAGGTGAGATTAAGGAGCTTTTTTCCCCTCTTGACCCAAGATCAAGTTAAAGTATGTGTTTAGGATAACAATTTTCCTTTTGCAAGTTGTGTATTATTTTTATTCATCTATTTTAAAAAGGTGAAAGGTCAGATTTGATGAGTAAAATATCCATAATCACCTGAGGTGAGACTCGCTGCATATTCATTGTCACACTCATCTATAGGTTCGCACTCTCCGGGTAAAAAACTGTCATGAATATCTCATAGGGTGCTAATGCTGTGCGATACATCAGGTACTGAACACATTAAAGTTTCACCAGCGCATTAGACTGCTAAGTAATGAGTTATATGCAGAACACTGGTGAATCAGACATTTTTTATTTGGGGTAAAACATCAGATGCCATGTTTTCTACTTGCAGTGCCACACTTGGAAGTTATTATACAAAGTAAGGATCAACTGTGTTTCACCATCTTGGATCAGATGTAATATGTTTTCAATAATTCAGACTCACTAATCTTCTCTTTTTTTTAGTTTGACCCTGGTCTAATCCAGCTCCTGGTAAAAGGGGTCCCTCCTCTTGTGTCCTCTACTTGATAGTGCTGACCCGAGTGTTGGCCCTGGCTCCCACCTGCAGCAGCCTCTGTAGGCCCACTGCTGTGTCAGCTCCACTGCTCCACAGAGCAGAGGTCATGACCCCAGAGCCTGGCTACACCTGTCTTCATCTGACTGATTACATATTAACACCACACACACAGACGCTGTGCTCGGATTGTCCTTTGACCCAGAATTTAGAAGGTTTAGTTCTCCCAAATGTGACCTGGACCTCACCCATCTCTTTAATATTTGATAGATTAAAATTATTCTAATTCTGTTAAATATTTTTACTGCTTCTGGAAAGAATAGTAATGGGGTGACTGACTGAGTTTTGATTTTTAATATCAGTGTCCTGTACATTCATGCCCATCCCCGTGAGCTTATAAGACACTGTAAAACAATAAACAGATGGCTGCAGACAAACATGTTTTCAGCATTTATAAAACGAACGGAAATACAAATCATACAGGATACAAAATATGCTGTTTTCTGCCTAAGGCTTTAGTAATGTAACAGACTAAATAAAACTAACTGCCTTTTAAAGCCTAAGTATTATTTAATGATCAGCCAAATCAGGATTTGCTCCCAGCTTCCAAAATATTCAGAAAATCAAAATTAAATGGACAGTAAGAAAATAGAAAAGAAAAAGGAATAGACTAACAGTTAAGTGGTGATTGAAAGCTGTGTGCTGAAGTGAATGAATAATGCTCTTTAAAGTGTATTTAAGTGTTCACAACGCACTAAATAAATCCTATTCATTATTATTATGTAGTGAGTCAGCATAGATAGATAACAAAGAAAACCACAGCCAACATTTTAAAAATAACTCTCATTTAGTTGGAAACATAATTTATAAGACATAATAGTTAGTTGGACTCTACTTTTATATTTTGAGTTTAAATTGTGAAGATTACTATACCTGGGATACAAAGTGTTATCTAGATGCTCAGAATCTTTGTGAAATTCTCTTGAGGTTTGCACATTGCATGGGAATAGATGTAAGCTTTGCACCCAATATTCAGATGAAAAGTCACATGTGTATAAATATGTTCTTTCTGTTGTGTTTCCAGGTAAACGGCTCCAGGAGTGGATATGTGTCGTTCTGTGCCTCTTTCTTTTCATCATCAACTTCTCCTTCCTCGTCCTCCATTTCTCCACTGTTCACATCTTCAAGATCATCCTAGGCATTGGTAAGATGGCCTTCAGAACTAACTTTGTTTATTGCAATACATGAGAGCATGCTTATGAATTTGTGTATTCTTTTTATTAGTACATTGCACAGACCGAAGTTACTCTTAATCATGTGACTTGTATTCCCATTCCTTGTCTCCCAGTCCTAGGAATAGTGACAGCGGACTTTGCATCAGGGATGGTACACTGGGGAGCAGACACTTGGGGATCTGTGGATATTCCTATAATTGGCAAGGTAAGCAGATACAATTAAACATGTGTGGTAGAGTCAAATAATCTACAGATAATCTTTGTTTTTCCTTCTACAAAGACATGATGGTCAGTTAAAGGTCCCTATTTTTCTTTTGTAATAGTTGACGGGCAAGTTATTTGCTCATTTTGGTGTTCAGCGGTTCAACCCCTGCTTATACTAGATGCAGTACTTCATTTTTAAACATGTTTTCTGTTAAATATGAGTAGGACTGATCCAAAAACAACATAGTGGCTTTTTATGTTTCTACTAATTTAGAGAAATAAACATAGAGATAAATTCTATGTATGAAATCTGCAGGTTTTCTTATATCCTCCAAATATTATAAAAAAATAAATTCTTACACATAGGTATTTAAATAAACCACTTGCAAACATTTATAAGGGAGTGCATTAACTTATGATGACACCATCTCTAATTGTGATTTTTATTTTATTTTTTTTTAAACAGTGTAAATTAGCATACAATTTCCTTGGTATGTCTTAAGAAAGTCTCAAGTGTCCCCTCTCTGTTGGGATTGCGTAGCCATGGCAGCATGGTGGTTGCACCTTAGTCCCCTGAGCCTCATGACTGCCATAGTGACCTGGAAACGAAATGTCAGTCCTCACATGGGGCACTCCCAGTGGACAGCGATGTCCACTGTTTCTTCTCCCACTCACTGGCACACGCCCAGTGGAAATGGCCTCATGGTGAACTCCCACAAGCTGTCATCACACATGTATTATGTATGTACAGTGCATATGCAAGTGTGCTTTAAGATGGAGGCACATTTAACGAGATGACATTAAAACAAATCGCCCACATTAATGCACGCATGCATTTGACCACCTTTCCCACAGCCAATTAGAGAAAAGGTTATTCTTATTTCAGCCAATTAAAATATGTGTGATCAGGTGCAGCATGTAGATTGGCTCAGATTGGTGCAGACAACTTTGTTGTGATTAATGGGACCAGTGTTTCATAGTTTATTTTATGAAATATTCATTGAATTAATTGAAAATAAAAATGTTGGAGGTCCTAGTGATAAAGACACATGTGGCAACTGCATTTTATTTGGACCAGCCTTGTTCTGGACAGTTGCTTTTCTTAAAATAACATGTAACATTTTCAGCCAACAGCACAGTTTTAATCTGTTTTCATATTGATTTGGCTTTGTCTTGTGTTTGGTAGTTCATTTTGAACAAATCAACCTCCTCATGCCAACTCTAACTGCTTTAACTGCAGATAACTATAGGTGGTCCTTCTAAAAACACATTGCAATTTGCCTTTATCAATGGAAGGAAACAAAACAAATTTGAGTGAACACATGCAATGAAACAACAACAATAAACCAAGTTTGATTTTTATTTTTTTTTAAATGTAACAACACTGCTTTTTATTTTATCACTACAGTGTCTTACAGCTGCATTTTATTTGTGTCACACATTTTACCCTTGAACTAGATTTCTGGTTTAAGTCCAGGAGGTAGACATACACTGTAATCTCCACACATCTGAAACATATTTTAATAAATTGTGTTATCGTGATTAAGACTTCTGGTAAAGACTGATTACTTTAATTCTTATGACATGTTTGCTCCATATTTCATAGTTCACACGGATAATGGTGGTTTTACCATACTACACAACACTGTATAGTCTAGGACCATAATTTTTATGGGTGTGATTGGCAGGGACATTAACCAATCAGAGATCCAGTGCATGGTCCATTCTGGGTACGCACAGCAATAGGCCACTGAGAAACTCTGCCAGTTTGAGTTTATGGATTAATGCTCCAAGTTTTTGTATAATATAATGATACCTGTCAGAGTTGTGTGGGTCACTGAATGATGACTCCAGTTCTAGAGTATAAAATTCCAGTACAAGTCTAGGAAAGTGGAGCCTGTCTATACTTTTGAGTTGGGCAGGTAGTGCAGGTGACTGTAGATAAAAAGATTGCATTATCCCTTCAAAATTACTGGGGAAGTGGTTTTAAGAGGTATCTACAGACATGTTTCTCAAAATATTCACAAACTAAAGTATATGTTTTTTGTTCTGCGTTTTCCCAGTAGTGCTTGTTCTTGGTGAGTCTGGGTTGTGCAGTTCTCCTGTCGTCACCATGTCGTTGTACTTTAATTGACTCAACAAGGATTTAGCAGCCTCTAATGGCTCTGCTATGAGGACCTAGTCATGCTCATTAGCTTCCAATGATGCTCGATTCACAGTGAAATTTGCCAGATGTGCTTGTAGTTTGGGGAGATATACTATGTCTTTAGTTTGGGTTCTCTGTTTATTGTAATGATTCATTTGTATCCACATGTATGTTTTTCTTTTTCTTGTTGTATAATCCAGTTACCATGTATCTATAAATATGCTGTAATTGTGCTGATTTAAGTGTCAAATGATGACAGAGAATAATAAGTGAATTTAGAGATTGACAGTATACACAAGCACATATTGAAGCTCAAAGTAAAGAGTGAACAAAAAGAGTGAGACTAAAAAGCAGTACAGGCCCGGGGTCACAGGGAGAAGGGGGTGGAGGGGCGTGCCTGTGCAGCAGTGGGACAGCGGCAGTGTCCGATGTGAGCTGATGATTAGTGGACGTCGTGCGAGGTGTCCATAAACCATGTGGGATTAGACACGTGGCCCGCACTGTCCCGCACTGGCCCGCCTTTAACTGGGAGCACTGATTTGGCCCTGACTCGGCACGACCTCTGCCGCTCTGCCCCTTTCATCTGACTGAGGGTTTGGGCCAGAGGCGGGGGTCTGCGGGGCATCCAGCAGAACAGTCACACCAAAAGGGAATGGCCACATAATTGTGCCGATATCCACAGATATGTTTTCAGTGACACCTACCAGCCATAAACACCAGATAGGAGCGTGCTATTGGTTTTGAACGGCTGCAATAATGAGTTTTCACGCTGCTGCTGCCACAGCGGCACACTCACACGCTTGGACACTTATGCAAACGTTCCTTTTTGCCTTTTCCATTGAGAGACATAAATTATCTTTATCCTGTAGTTTTTGTCTCTTTTGTGCTTGTGAGATTCAGATTTGGTCTTTCATTTGAGACCCCCGTGCTCTCTCAGACAGGTGTCTGCCTCTGCACAATGCAGGAGCGGTGTGTGTGTGCGTTTGTGCCTCACATTTGTCTATGGGCCATTTGTTTGTACGAGTGTGTGGTGGGAGGCCACTGCTGTTCAGTGGGTTATTAGGATGCTGGATACGAGCTTTGGGGGGCACACAACACCAGGCACCTCTGTGTACCAGCGTGGATGACTTTCTTTTGCATAAACACCATTATTTCACTCAGTTTTCATTTGCTGCTATCCATTTGCATTTTGTTACATTTTTGCAGTGAAGTTATATGACTAAACCGGTCCTGATTTAACAATTGTAATACGAGATAAGCTGATCGCTTAATTACTGATTGACTTTTTTCTGTCTTTCTCTCTGCAGGCTTTCATCCGGCCATTCAGGGAGCACCACATTGACCCCACTGCCATCACTCGCCACGACTTTATTGAAATAAATGGCGACAACTGTATGATCCCCATCCTCCCGCTGGCCTACATGGCCTACAAGTTCCTCACTTACTCACCAGGTACAAAAACATTTAGGGTCTGCCCAAACTTACTGTTAGGTTTTTAATGTGTGTGATACTTATTTACACAGTCTTTGACTTTACCATGTGTTATCTGCAGCCAGATTGTGTAGTGCAGTGTAAAGTGTGGGGAAGGTCGTCTGAGGCCTTAGACTTCTGAGACATGTGTTACAGGAGAGGAGGGAGTGGAGCTCCCACAGTGAGGGCCATTACTGCAGAGCACAGGGCAGTGCCCGCGGTCGCCCTTGGTGACCACTGGGTGACCACTGGTGACCTTAGAGCAGAGGGCATCACTGTGGCACAGAAAACCCTCTTATTGAGCAGGTGTCATGTGCCCTGCCACGACTTACACCTGCTCTCATAGGAAAGGTCACTAATGGACAACCATACACATATATATGAGAGTCTTTTACCTGAATTATTTTAAACCCACTCCTCCTGGATTGTGCAGTATAAATACTACTGACAACATACACTTTTATCTGCACAGCTTCAGTTTTGTGTTGCCTTTATCACAACAGACAATTAATTTATTCTATTTATGTTCCTAGTGAATCATTCATGATAGCTAGTTCTGTGGACAAGCTTGTAATTGACAAACGCATTTGCTGTATTTGATCATACTAATGACTTATTGATGCTATTTTCTTAGACATACTTTAGGACATTATATATTGCCGGCATATCTGACCCCAAATCCTTGAAGTCATTGAAAAGTGTGTGGATGGGAAAAGTTTCAGGTCAAATGTGTTTCTGAAGTAGGGACCAGTGAAACAGGGGGCAGAGGCAGCACAGATTAAACTTAAACACAGAGACGTGACATTCACAGCTGACACTCCACAGGCCGTGAGCAGTGGAGGGGTCAGTGGCCACACACACACACACACACACACACACACCCTATGAGCACACCTGAAGAGGCCACGGCTCAGACCACACATGGGGGCGGTACAATGACATGGAAACCTGTCATGTCAAACGTCTAACTGTTTCCAACGGTCACAGACAAAGACGGCGACATCACGGCACAGGAAGGAGAAAAGCTGAGAGGTGACATCTCCAGCTGTGATGTCGCGGCGGAGCTGGGGTCAAAGGGGCACTGTTAAAAGCAAAGGAGACAAGGATTGAGCTGGACCACAGAGGACAGCTTTAGTCAGGCACAAAATCCCCAGTAAACTGTAAAAAAAAAAAGGCTGTAGGCTTTTAGTTTCTTAGTCGATTAAACAGTGGATGGTGTCTTAGTCAACCAAAATTTCTATTAGTGGATTAATCATTTTATGTATTTATTTAGTTATTTATTTTTTTATTGTGATAGAGTCAGTACAAACAATAAAATACATTTTGACTTGAGGGAATAGGGAGTGAAATACATCAAGATTTGTAGAGGGTGAGACAATAAGAATGACTTCTATTCTACTTATATGGGAATGTAAATGTGTATAAGAGTAGGTAATTAATAAAACTGAAAAAATTTAAGAAAGAAGAGGGAAAAAAAAATAATAGTTACCTTTTAGTAGCTAATTCTAGTATCTATAATTTGTGATTCTTCTTAATTATCCAACCAACGACTGTACAAACGTTATCAAATAGGCTTAACACTGCAAAAAAATGTGAAAAAATGCCTTACTAATGCAAAGAAAATATGCACACGATATTATTTAGCCTGAAAAAAATGATTCTATGATATACTGAATGGCAAATCTATATAGTAATTATCGAGACCCTAAACTTACTACTGTATGTACTGAAGTGTTGACACAGGCATAATTGGATGTAATTACCATGACCATCCCTAATGCTAATTTAATGTTTGAGTCTTTAAAGAGCACTCACCTTTAAATGTGTAAATAACTGTGGCGATGATAATAATGATAATGCTTTATAATGTACACATATTAATCAGCAGGACGGCTCATTTGTTGACAGGCAGCATAATCCTGCTCTAAATTAGTGCTAATTGGATACCATAGAGAACTTGTGGGTAGTGTATCCATTAACGTCATTTTCACATATACGTAATAGACCCCTTAGTTGGAAGGCATTATATGTGCTTTTGCATACTTTTTCTTTTCTTTTTTTGACAGGTGACAGTTTTTATTACCCCCACCACCATCAACCAATAAAATGTGAAATATTAATATATGTATTAGGGATGTAACAATAATGGAAATATCTCAATATCATATTGTCAAAGTTTCACAATAATACCGTAGGCTGTCACAATATATATCGAATTACAAAATCTTTTGCTTAAATTTATTTTTTTATAGTAGCAGTAGCTAATAAACATTGGGAACTACATATCCCATGATTCATCATTTCAGTGCAGACAACATGAAGAAATATGTTTTTACCTTAATTCTTGCGATTATGACTGGAATAATGTACACCAAAATATTTTCAGGGTATTTTAAAAACAAAAAAGTGTTCCATCTACAGTTATACCAGCCTCTCCAAAATATTGCAATAAATATTGTACTGTTAGATGCATATTGTGATAATATCGTACCGAGAGATTTGGATATCATTACATTCCTAACGTATATTGTAGTTTAAATTAAATACTCAAGATTAAAAATGCATGCCCCCTTTCAAGACTGCATATTACACTATTTTCTGAGCTGTTATTTCCTCATCCAAAACATGCATGGAGTTGTGTTTTGTTTCATTCACACACGTTTAACACACAAACTCTGCATATTTAGGCTGTGACCTTTCAACCTTAAAACTCTGTTCCACCTTGTGATGTCATGTGGTCATACATGAAGTGCTCTGATGTGTTTTTAAACTCCATACACCTTCACTAGAATCATTTGGGATGAATTCAGCTCTGGAATTGCCAATTTCTAAAGGGAAAAGGTTTGCTGTTAAATTAAAAAAAGTACCACTACATGACATCACAAGGTGGAACAGGGCATTCTGAGCTTTGGAGATGTAGACAGATTAATAAACTTTTAAACTAAAGGATTACTCAAACGTGACAATGAAACAAAAGACAACCCCAGGTATGTTTTTGAGGAGGTAACAGCATGGCAAAAAGCTCACAAGAGTCAATTTTGTGTGATTTAGGACCTTTAACTGGTGTAGTACTAAATTAACAATGTGGTAATATTTGTTATATTTTATGTGTAATTATTATTCTTATAAGTAAGTAAGTAACACTTAAATTATCACTCAAGTTGCATTCAAATTAACACAATTATGAAAAAAAAGGACTTATTGACTTTGAAAGTGAAAAATCCCATGCGGCCGTGAATGCAGCATTAATTCTAAATCATAGCCCTGACATCAGTACTAAAATGCCTGCAGCCTCGTGACCGTTCTGTTTCTGTCTTTTCTGAGGATGAAATTTTAATTAAATCGGTGTTTCAAGAGGACATCCACATCCCACCGCTGTTTTCTATTCCCCAGTCTCCACCTGAGCTCCAGCTGCACCTACCTCCAATAAAATCAGGCCACATTTGACTGTAGACCCCGGGGAGCCACTAAAGGAATAATGTGTTGTTCTTTTTGAAAGGGGGGAGGACATTTGCAGTAGTTGTTTTAATTTAAGGGTGCTGGTGATGATTTGTGGTTAGATCTTTGTATGTCTTTTATTCACAAAGTCTCTTGTTTGGGGGGTCATGTGTTAAATATTTCTCCTTGATTGCTCATTTCAGAGGCCCATGTTATGGTATTTTCTGATCTATTTATAAAGTTTCCTCATCAAAAACATACCTGGAGTTGTGTTTTGTATCGTTTGCACATGTTAAACACACAAACCCTGCATATTCAAGTTCTTTCTCAGACAGAAAACACCTTGTGATGTTATGTGGTAATACAGGAAGTGCTCCACTGTGTTTTTAAACTCTGTACACATTCACTAAAATCTAAACTAAAGGTAAATGGTAGATGGTAACTTCAAATCTACAGCTTCTTTGACATCACTTCATGCTTTGGAGATGTAGACAGACTAATAAACTTGTGAATGAAACAAAATACAACTCCAGATATGTTTTTGATGATGAAGTAACAACATTATAACATGGCTAAAAGCTCACAAGAGTCAATTTTGTGTAATATAATAGTCCTTTAGTAGCCTACAACCTCACTCTCCCTTATGTCTATAGTATATAGTATATCAGATCTTTATTAATATGGAAACAGAGACAAGCGAATTTAAGATGCCAATTGTTCTAGGCTAGTTTTTGCATTTGCCTAAACTACTTTTGAACCCAGGATGCCGACAGTCTTTGTATGGGATTAGGAACTATTGTAATTCCATAATTCTACAACTAGGTTATTCTGTAGTTATGGGTAAAATTTAAAGATATATTACGCAGAATTGGCTCTTGTGAGATTTAAGCATTGTTATAATGTCGTTACCTCATCGTAAACAGACCTGGAGTTGTGTTTTGTTTCATTCACATGTTGGCATAATCCTTCTTGAGTAATATTGTTAGTCTGTCTACATCTCCAAAGCTCAAAAAGCTCTGTTCCACCTTGTGATGTCATCAAGTAGTTTTCAAGTTAAGCACCTTTTACCTTTAGTTCAACAGAAAATGGCAATTCCAGAGATTAAATTATCCAAATGAGAGTGTACGAAGTTTAAAAACACAGTGAAGCACTTCCTGTATTTCCACATTACATCACAAATTGGAACAGTGTTTTCTGTTTGAGCCCTCAGCCTAAATATGCAGGGTTTGTGTGAATGAAACAAAGCACAACTTGGGGTATTTTTTGATGAGGAAACAACATTATAACAGACCAGAAAATAGTGTAAAGTTGGCCCTTTTAAAGAGACAAAGTATCTTGACTAGAATGAGTAATCAGTGGTTTGTTTTGTTCATTTTCCTCCATCACAGAGGCCTTGGCTACATCTTATCCTTGGGACTGCTATGTCTTTGCGCTGGCGGTCTTTGTAACTCTGACCAATCAGATCCACAAATGGAGCCACTCGTACTTCGGGCTCCCGCGCTGGGTTCGGCTGCTTCAGGACTGTCACCTAGTCCTGCCCCGAAAGCACCACCGCATCCACCACGTCTCCCCACACGAGACCTACTACTGCATCACTACAGGTGAGTACAGGGAGAGGTGAGCAGTAATAGCCAAACAAGTGTAAAATTACTCTGTTTAGTTTGCATGGTAAAGGGGATACATTATGCAAAATCAAGTATTTTAGAACTTTTAACCTGGTCATAATTGTTTTCCCTTCTCATTTACCCTCATTTACGTTAGAGTAATTGTTATTCTACTGCTTTCACAATGCCATTCTTCCTATACATATGTGCACTGTTCTTTACTTGTTTGTGTGTTTGCAAATCCAGAATATCTCTCTGCTTTGTTATGTAGTCTGGTCTGCATGCCCTCTGTTGCGCCTCAAACCCAGTCAAACGTGATCTTGCAATCAGATATTTGATGCATGTGAAACAAAGGAATTCATTGGTCACCTATCGTTTACAAACAAGATCACTTCATCCTTCATCTCAGAGATTAGTGCTTCACTCATTGCAGAAATCTGCAGTGTTTTATAGTTCCCTGCTGGCTAATTGGCCAATCTACCTGTAAGTCACGCCCATCTGAACTTGTGGAGCTACAAGACTGACCAGACTCACATTTTTGCAAAGTACTGAAGAAGTATGATCGAAGGCTTGATAAATGTAGGATTCAGCAACGCTACTGTGATCTGCAGCTATCCATCAGCACTGTAGTTATGAACCAAAACTCAGCTGACTTGTTCTTTAAATTTTAGATACATTTTGGGATATAAAATGGACAAATTATGACTATATACCAGACAAAAGCATAGCTCTGTTTATAGTTTGCCTCGCATACTGGCAGAAGCTACCCAAGATTCTCATTGAATATGTGTTGTCTGAGTGGCCATCTTCTCTTGTTGTAATCAGCAGATGACTTAATGTCCAACAAATCTGACAAAATGGCCGCTGTGTCTGTACGTAGGTCTGTCTGCGGGCATCTTATAAATAACTAAGAGAAGCGTTTGTGTTAGCGTGTGTGTGCAAGTCTTCAGAGACTGGCGTCCTGTGTAATAGATCCACATCCTGTATTCTGTGTGCATCTGGGTGAGGAAGGGTGAGGGGAGGATGGAGGAGAGGAGACTCAGGGGGGCCCGGGCCAGTACGTCACCCGGAGCCCCAGTGGACGACAGATGTGTGTGCTCCTCTGCATACTCCAGCATCTGCGTGGAGCCTCTTTGACCTCCTCATTGCTTCCTAACCTGTGTGTGTGGGTGGGAGGTGGGTGGGAGGTGGTCGTGTGGTGGAGGAGGGGGGGGGAGCACCCACAGGGGACGGCCGGCCCACCACACGCTCCCTCCCTCAGCCTCTCTGCCTGGGCCGAGCTACCATTCCACTGGGGCTCGCCTGGCTGCCTTTGTGTTCGCCACCGGCTGACAATCCCCATGTATATTTAATGCTAACCTGCTGTCTGTTCTAACAAATAGGACTTCACAGGCAAGAGGAGGAGGGGGGCACAGGGATCTGGAGGGGGAAAAACAAGTGAAAGAAAGAATCGAGAATAGCAAGGGGGTCGCAAACAGGACAGCCAACTATGTCCCACAGCCATAGCACCCAGTTTATGCTAACACGTCATTATTCCTACTTGTGTACTTTGAAGCTAAGACTGCTAAGCTAATATGTATTGTGCTAACGACTCTACATCATAATTAAGCACAGCCCCTGTAGCTTTCTCTCTCTGGTTCCCATTTTTACTTTACATATTTGATAATTCTCTCACGTCCAAGGTTGAATTATAATTGGCCCAAAGAGAAATTAATATTTTTGGTCATGTGATTGTGCTGGTGGTCTTAGTCTTCTTAATAAGGCTTTAACATTAGCAAGTCTGTGTCAGGCTAAAACTCATTTTAGTTAAGTGTGCACTGTGTAACTTTTCTGATGGAGTGTCCGCCATCTGCTTGTTTCCATGGAGATATGAGTGCTTTGCCTGCTGGAGAGAGTAGAAGCTGCAGGATGAGAAGTGGCATATATTTACTATACAGTATAAATATCACAGTCATTTCACAGATACACCCGATCTAATGAACATTTATAAATGATGATTAATAGCGGTGTAACAATAACCAAAATATCGTGATATTGTATCTTCAAAAGTCTCTCAATAATATCATGGGCCATCACAATATATCGGATCACAAGTTTCTTTGCTTAAATTCATTGTTATGTTGCAGCAATAGCTAAAAAAGCAGAGGGAACTACATTGACTATGATCCTTTGCTCCAAGTTGGCGCTAACTACATGAAAAAATAGCATTTCTAAGTATTTTTAAATCTTAGTTCTTTGAATTAAGTCTTGTCAATGCATTTTAAGAGGAAAAAGTACAATATTCACAATTTTGTTAACCTCCACAAAATATCGCAATTAATATCGTACCGTGAGAGCTGGATATCGTTACATCCCTAATTAATTTTTTGGCATGTTTTGGTCTAATAAGGAAAGTAGGAAACTCCTTGTTAAAACATGGTTTAGGGCTGTTTAAACAGTATTTGCAAAGCAGAGGAAACATGTTGTACTTTTTAAAACTTTTGCCTATTGCTATTTTAAGACAGCTAATATGCAAAAGCGTATGTAATCTTTTACTTAAGCATGGAGCTGTGTACCATTTGAGTGGCTTGTCAGTATGAAATCTTAATAAGCTTTTCTTCCATATAATCTGTGTGTTTGCCTGAGGCCATGCATTGAACATGTTTACCTCTGACATATTTAAACCCACGTAGAATGTAATCCTGGGTTTGCATAAGGACTAAGGGTGTCTCAGGAGACTGGTGCCACGGTGACACTGTTAGAGATGTAGTGTGTGCATATGATTGGATATAAAGCAGCAGAGATGGGGGTTAACAGGAGACAGCTGTGAGAGGCTGAGCACATGTAGTCGAATGAGAAGCTAATACACCAGTGGAAAGGCAAACAAAGAGGAAGAAAATGTCATATAAGAAGTTATAATTGTAGATTTTTTTATTCCACCCTGAAGAGGAACTTGCAACAACAGATTTAAGCTGTTCATAAATACAAAAGCATCCTCACGTAATGCTTAAACAGGATTGAGTTGTTGTTTTTTTTTTTTGCTTTCATATTTAACTCAACAAATCGAAGACATAAGTTATGATAAATTTGTTCTTGTTTTTTTCCCCCATTTCCATAAAACTCCTCCCCACCTTCGCTCCCTACATATGTCACCCTCTCCCTACCCCGTCACCCTTTCCATGCCCCTCCACCCTCCCCATGCCCCCTCACATTTGTTAAAGGTTGGTGTAACTACCCTCTGGACCAGCTCGGCTTCTGGAGGTGGATGGAGCGCGCCATCGAACACTTGACGGGACTGAAGCCTCGATCAGATGACATGGCCTGGGCAAAGAAAACCCACTGACAACAAACTTAACATTCTTCTCATTTCTTTACGCTTCTGGCTTTTTGCAAAAAAATCCAAGATGGTTGCCGTGACTTGGGTTGTGTTCTTCAGTGGCCACTGGGCTGGTTGGTTTAGCTGTGTTTCACCAGTTTGTGCTTGATATGTGGGAGCGTGATGTTCTTGGAGGTTGGGCTCTCCAGGACTGACGCCATGTTGCCTGTCATTGGTACATTCTTCAGACATACAGGGTCACGTGCGTTCACTGTAATTTCTGATTTGTTTGCTTAAAAACATTTTCACATAATTGCCCATGCTAAGAACTTATTAAGAACTTAAAGGTGTATTGCGCAACTTTCCTGTTGGAGGGTCCGCAACCTGTTTGTCTTCATGGAGATGTTAATGCTGTGGTTTAAATTCTAAGTGTGATATTCAGCTAATCTGTCTTGCATTTTTATATCTTAAAAACATTATTTCTTACCATGAATGAGGTAATTTGGCCTGCAAGTCTCCATGAAGTTTATGGCCATACTGTGGAACATTCTAGACACATCTCCATGGAGACAAGCAGGTGACAGATACACAATAATGCACCTTTAAGAAATATTTATAGTGTAAGATAGGAAAATGGCATATTTGGTGTGTGAAAAATATTGCTGTTAGGATAACATTTGAATCTGTAAGGATGTTTAAAGTTATAGACGTGTTGATAAAAGTCCTTTATCACGCTATGTTTAAGGCAACCTCTGCATTATTCAATTTAGCTTATTTGACTCAATTACATCCCCCCGTCCCCAAATTAAAATGTTGTCTCCTTTAGGGCTAGAGTGAGTAGTGGAGTGCATTATCTCCCAGTGTTATCTAATGTCATGGATATTCAGTCATTATATACACTGGGGATTGGACCAAAGGTGGAGCTTTAATTGAAGTTCTTGTCTTTTATGGAGACAAGATTAAAACACGCTCTACCACACTTTTCCAAACAGGCCACACTTCTTCATAAACAACATTATGAACAACATTTAAAAATACTTACAGATACAATGAATAGTTATTCAAAAATACACGTGTGTTGTTGGTGTAACATACAAGGTTATGTTTCTTAAAAGGTCTTCATGAGAAATATTTGTGTGGAGAATTTAGGGTAAGTCCATCGTGTGATATGATAGAACTAAGACTAAGTGGTTGGTAAATAAGCATTTCGTTTTTTTGCACTTTTTGAGGAGACAGCCATCAAGCGGTTTCTACGCCATGTGCTCATAGGCAGACAAACCAGTGGCTCAAGTTTATGCTGTTCATTGACTTAAGATTGAGTTTGCAGTTTAGCATCACTTGGCTTTTTCTCCACCTCAGACAGTTAACAGCATTTGTTCAGCACTAATAAAATGCAATTACGAAGAGGATTGAAATGGGGGCTCATTGCTGTACGACATTCCACGCTCTCACACCGAGAAGACAGTGAAAACAGTTGTGTACGACGCTAATTAGTGCCACTGAACGCCACACTGTGCGGAAACTGTAAAAATGTGTCACAATTCTGTAAACCCAATTGTTCTCTCAGTTTGAGGCGACACAAAGGTAAAACGCATTGATCACACTCCACTGACTGGTGATCACTGCTGATGAGGCTGTGTGAGGAGGGAGAGCTGTGTGATTTGTTTTCATCTTTAGATAAGTCACAAAGGTCAATTAAAATAGCACTTTATTTTGACAACATACTCTCTGTTACATCTGTTATACTTCTATGCCTAAAAACAACAAAAAGTTTGGGCATTGTGCAAATGTGAATACAAATTAATGGTTTGCATTTTTAAAACCTCATTTTACTCACATTTCAACATAAAAAATGTTTAAACTGAAACATTTTAGATACAATAATAGTGTCATCTCTTAAAACTTTTACACAAAGTATAAATAGAAACTTACTTTTTTACTTTGTTGCTTTTATCGTGCAAATTCAATAGTTGCTAATACATTTCACACATTTTCAGTAACATAATTCATGCAGGCCTATCATATAATTTAGCTTGTAATTACACTTGACTCAATGCCCTTCTCTTTTGTTATTAAGGTTGTACAATAACAGCCTGTTCCACCTACGTAGTTCTTGAAGCTCATTGAAATCATGTCGAAATCACATCTTCTTGCTCTGCTCTGCCACTTGGTTCTGTTGTTTCTGGCTTTATAATTTTCTATTTTTATGGACAAACTTAAGCCTTGTAGAGTTACAATTCTAATGTTCCATTCAGCAGCTGTTCGCGCGCTGCTTGTCTGCCTTAATGTTTTTATCTGCTCTTTGATTTAAATAAAGGTTTATTAACTCAGATGTCGACTGTTCAATGGTAGCACTGTGGGGAGTGCTCACTTTTAGTTGTAGGTCATTTTTTGTTTTACATTTTATCATTTACATTTTCTTAGCTTTATTGTTGCTAAACTTTTTCTTCTGCTGGTCGGTTGCATGCCTGTAAGAAAGAGAATATCCACTTTGGGATGAATAAAGGTAATACAGATTCTGAACTACACTATTTAATTTATTCAAATGAAACCTGTAAACAACAAAATATCCATCCTGTCCCAATTTTTTCAATATTTTATGTACTTTCACAGCATTTAAATTGCCTTTGCCAAAAGCAGATTAACAGGGTTACAAAAATTCTTCATAGAATTGTGTTGGGACAAACTGTTGTTTTTGGTTAACTCCAACTTAATTATTGACTATTTTTTATTGGACAGTTGTGTAGTTTTAATATTCAATTATAATTAAACTATATTGTGTTCAAACAAATACATAAAAATAAACACTGCTACACTCATTTTTATCATTACAGTACATTTCATTTGCATTAAGACATTTTAAATGTCAGATTTTGGTTAAATACAGTTTTGAATGTAATGCAATCTAATGACATTTGTGTCACATAATCATGAGACTGAGATGAATTTGAAGTATAATAGCATCTGTTTTGGATAATCAGTGTGAAGACAAATCATGTGCCAGTGTTATGGGCTGATAACATCCATAGAGTACACAGAGCATAATGAATAAAGTTGTACATAATGAATAAACTTGCATACGGATACAGCCCATCATCAGTGAAAAGTGAAAATACCTCATAGTCACACAGTTTGTTCTCAGTCTTTCCAGAAGCAGGTCTCATTCTCTCATCCAGGGAGATGGAAAACATTAGGCCAGGGCCCATCACAGCACTCTGCTTCTCCTCAAAACAAAAATATTTCTTTCTGGTTACAGGGCAGTCAAATGAAGAGAGGAGCACATCGTTTTGTGTAGTTGTAACACAAAACTATTAGAATATATTGACAAAGAAATAGTAAATGCAAAGCATGTTGCAATTTAAAATCACATAAATAACTTTAAAAGAAGCCAGAGCAAAGTCTTGAATGCAGCACTTTTTCATACTGCTAAAGCAACGTCGCCCTCTAGTGGCAGAGATTTGGGATTTATTTCGTTTTTATTTGAACTAAAAAAAGGCATTTCACAAGCAGAGTTGAAACATCTTAATTCAGTTAGTTTATTAATAAACTGACCACTGCTTTCAGAAAAGAAATTAATGTTCAAACTTTTATTCAACCATTCTTTTTGCACCCTGGCTTTAGTTGTCTTTGCACTTTAACTGGGGAAAGAGTCACCGATTGGTCACTCCTCCTTTGACCTCCAGCTGCTGTCAAAAACTACAACACTTCAGGTAGGCCTATTCCCACTGGCTTTACAGTAACCCACGAATCTCATTTCGCATTTAGCTTCAATCTGACACACAGCCAAACACATTCTTTTGAAAACCACAATAACAAAGTGACAATCCTTTCCCCTTTCATTTGGCTGTCACTTCTCAGGAGACAGCAGCCCTCGCGCGCAGGAGCCTGTAGTCCGTCAGAGGAGCAGGTATTCGCGCGTACACCTCCACACTGTGAGGGGGTGTCGTGTTGCCGAATACTCGCTGATCTCACGTCTTCATATAGCTCACTGCTGGAGCTCTTTTGTCTTTCCCACATTACTGCCATCACGTTGACTGTTAAAGCCCGCGCTAACAAGACGCCACACACCCCTCCAGTCTCTGCGTGGCGGTGACATATTGGATCGCACTATGCTGATGTGCTTGGCTGATCGGCGCGCCATGCTGTTAGCTATTAAAGTTTCTAACAGATACACTGAGAACACGGGGCTTGATGGCAACACTTTGGGCGGCGAGATGCAGGAGCCAACAGCGTGCAGCACTTAGCTCGAGTTTGCCGCAAGAAAAGTTTTTTGGATTGTCAAAATGTGCAAAATAAGACCTGGGAAAGTAGTGCATCGGTTTAGACTGTCTTTCTCTTGATGAATTCATTGACCAGGTCTGTCAGCTGTGTGTCTCCCTGTACCTAAATTAGATGGACTTACATTTGGACGTTTTTATTTATGTGCAGCAGTGAATCAGGATCAGAATTACCTCCATTCGTTAAAGGGGACATTGAAAAGAATTTCTGTTTAGGAATGATTCTGGTGCAGATTGGTCCGACCAGTGCAAAATCAGGCCCCCATGACCTTTCGTTTGCCCTAAGAACTTTACTGAAACAAAATAAAAGTTTGAGAAGTTTTGGACAGAAATACAAATAATGACCTTTATGCAAAAGCAGTTTCTTTAGGCTACATAGACCATAGTCCAGTGGCGCAGATACACATCCGTCAGTCAGGGCAGGTGTGACTATAAAAGTAGTGTACCACCAGCAAGAATGGCAGTGCGTGCATGTTTAATGAAACTGTAAAGCAGGGCTGTACGCTCAGACAAATGAATAATAACATTGCATTCATCGGTAAAAAAGCTAGGACTATAAGAAACATAAGATACCTATTACCAATATTGAGAATGTGCATCGATTAACATACTTTTTTTATTTCAATGTCATAGCATCAAATTGTGAAAGTGACTAATTCAAGTCTAATTGCAAGAATAGATAACATTTAATTATCAACATTTTAGCTGTTGTTTTTACACTTACGTGCTTTTGCAGAAAGCACATGAACGTGTTCATAAATTCCAAATTGTTAACAGTGACAGAGAAATTGGTGCAAATCTAATTAAAGTTGTAACTTCGGTTTCATCGCCCGGTGCGGTCTCTGGGGTGGATGTGGCGGCAGTGCGCGCTCTGCTCCGCGCTGTGAGAGAGGCAGAGCGGTGTCATCCAGAGGTGTGTTCACGCCTTATAGGCCACAGCGTTTCCACATGAAAATATATTCTGTAGTGCACCTGCGGGCACTCGCTCAGGTGAGAAAGCCAATTATGCCAGAGGTGAAGCAAAAAACATTCAGAGAAAATCTAGTCCGTGATATGGGTCATACACAGACAACGTGCAACATAAACCACCTCCTAATACAAACTTAATAGTTTCGGAATTAACTTTTTCTGCATGTTTAATTGTGATAAAATGTTACAGCTCAGTTTGACATTAGACTACAGTCTGCTGTAAGTGTATCTGCTCAGTTATAGAGCTGCCCAGCACCACCTACTGGCTAAAATGTTTCATAACAATTCATAATAGAAACAAAATGAAATAGTCTTATTTATATTCAGAACAAAACTGCACACAAGTGAATCAGAAAATGACACAGATGTTAATTATGCATTTTGTGAATATTTTCTTTTCACATTTTCTGCAAATTCAACAATCATGCATGATCCATGGTCTGACCCTCCCAGCTCTATGGCAACATTTGACCCATGCTTCAAAACCTCTGGACCAAAGTGGTGTTATATGTTTAATGTTGTTTATAATGTTGTTTATTCATCAAAAACGTACCTGGAGGTTGTGTTTTGTTTAATTCACACATGTCTAACAAACAAATCCTGCATATTTAGACTGAGTTCTTCTCTCAGACGGAAAACACTCCTTCACAAGAATTTGGATAATTTTAGCCCTGGACTTGTCAGTCCCCACTGAACAAAAGCTGTTAACTTGAAACCCAGCGCTTCATCACATCACAAGGTGGAACAGAGTATTTTGAGCTTTGGAGATTTAGACAGACTAATAGTAAAAGATTAATCAAATATGGGTAACAAACCACAAAGCACAAAACACAACTCCAGGTATATTTGGATGATGCAACAACATTATAACATTGCTAAAAGCTCACAAGAGTCGATTTTGCCCAATATAAAACCATTGTAATTTGTCCACCACATGTTGAATTGTATGCCTATAATATACAGAAACATAAACAACAGCAGCAATGGTTCATATGTTAACTGAGTGTTGCATGCAGATAGGTAGTGGGTGCTGGGGACAGGGTGATGGGTGGGGGGTGCTGTAGCAGTGTCGTTGGGTGCTTTGGGAGCTGCTGATGAATAGCTGACATAAGACCACAGGGACATGGCTCTGTCAAACTGTCATCCCACTCCCCTCTTCCATGCTCTGGGAATGCTAATTAGGCATGTTCATATTGTGTGGAAGCATCAACACAAGATAGAAATGTGGTTCTTATGAAGGAGCTGATAGTATTAAGGAAAGATGATTTGTGTGGTGGAACTTCTCATTGAATAGTGATGTTTTTGCATTTATAGGCCTGTGTTATAGCACTGTAATCCAGGGCTCAACTGTCTTACTCCACTGAATCGTCTTTACAGGTCATCTGTTTATTTACGGGCGACAGGAGCTCAGTTGGTAGAGCATTTTTCCACTGATCCCAAGGTTGGCAGTTCGAATCCCACTCTCATCCTCAACATCATTGGTAGAGAGGTCAGATCCACTGGTCCACAGGTGAATGGGTGTGTGGTTCCTTGTTGTAAAGCGATTTGAGTGCTTTGACGATGGAAAAGCGCTATATAAAATGCGATTACAACTTTTTCATGGGTTTTGACTTCCTAGTAGAAGTAGATGCAACATTTTGAAGACTTTTTCACATTCAAAAGATTAAGTACTTTGTTTTAAATTGTTAATCGCTAAGGGAATGCTCCTAGTTTTTCTGTCATCGTGTTACGCATGGATATTGTGAAGCAGCAGCATACATTTCAACCATTTTTGCATGGCGGTGACTAGAAAATATTTAGTTTTAAAGTCTGTATTCAACAAATTGCGCATTGTGCTGAACTCTTAATTGCCAATGACTTCTACTCTGACCTGCATGTCAACAGAGGTACACGCTCAATCCACTGAGTCACATGTGATTCGTGCCAAAAGTAAGTCAAAGTGCTTTACAGAAAAAGGAAGACATTAAAATCTCACTACAAATCACAATCATCATAAAATTAACATCAAAAGAGAAGAGTGCGCACTAGAGCCCTTTCAATCACAAAACCCTTACCACACTTTAGCCATGACCTTTTCTCTCATT